GAGAACTGTTAAATAGTTAATTTGATACTAATATCGATTTATTTTTTTCAAAATTTCATGTTATCTTCAAATTTATATTTCATTTAACAAAAAAAAAAACTCTTAAAATCGTATTATCTCGATAAAGACAGAATAAGAACTAAACACTATAATGAAGATTTATCTCGATGCATTGCACGAGTACCCTTCTAGTACACACACATACACACACACACACACACACACACACACATATATATATATGTATTGTTTTCTAATATGAATACGAGAACAAGGACATTTTAGTCTTTTAATCCCTGAGTAACAAGATTAATGATTTTCTTAACAACCATGGATGAGACGAATCGTATTCATGAAAAAATGACAATCACAGGACCATATCTATAATTTTCGGATTTAGGGACGCTAAGTCATAATTTTCGACATACCACAAAGATCATACTCATAATCTACCCTTCAATATATTTTATTTTTTCAACAATTTTATTATTATTATTAATTAATTTGTTTAAAGAAGACTAAACTCCACTTTCGATCCGTTGGTTACATAAAAAAATCTCGAAGTCTTGATTTCGATCTAAAAACAAGTCATTTGTCTTGACACTCTAAACGTTAACTCATCTCGTATTTCAAGCATGAGGGTAAATTTGTAATTTTATCTCCATTAAAGGTGTTGTGATAAAGAACTTTGATCAAAAGTGGAGTTTTTTAAAGAATAATTAAAAAAATAAATCATCAAAATTCACCAAATAGCTGAGATATTTAACTATCACTCAAACAGTCAGGATTCACAAATTGACTTATCAAATTTATGAAACGTCAGGTTTCTACATATTTTTATAACAAATTTACAGTTTTTTTTTATGTAGATTTAGGGATTTTTTGGGGAAAAAGAGGAGACAGAAGAGGCCATAAGCGGTCAAAAGTTTGTCGGTAATTTTCAATATTTGATGATAAAACTAAAATTAAAACAAATTAATCATCATTTTTTAATTAATTTTATTATAAATACGAAAGTTTCAAGTCAACTATAATCAATTAATCCATTAATAATGATACATTAATGTGTATTAGACTTCAGTTGCATATATTTATTTGCGATGACTACGGTCCATTTAATGTATTTTATTGAAACTCTTCTTGTGTTTTTAATAATAATAATAATAATAATAATAATAATAATAATAATAATAATAATAATAATAATAATAAACATATTTAATTT